TCTTTTATTCACACAAGTTTACAGGTGAAATTCGTATGTATTCGTCCTCGGATTATACGAAAGTATGAACATAATTGTCTTCATGAATGAATGTTGAGACTCATAATATGATATTAGTACAAGATGTTCTTATTGTTAGAATCAAAGGTCTTCTACAACTACTAATTCTTATATATGTCTATAATTGCGGTTTATGAAGTAGTATCAAATAACTATTTAATCATCTACAGAAAATAGATACTACACTTTTTTCAAAGGTTATGGGATGCTTTAACAAACAAATTGCAGGGTTTCCACTCTGATCATTATGATGGACTCAATAAATGTAATCTCAACTTTCAGTCAATATTGTCTATTGAACCACACGACTATTCTATGTAGGAATTGGACTGTGGCCACTCTTATTTGTCTCTCTGTTATACTCTTGATTCTGGAATATTCGGTTCCTTATAGATTCGTTCTTGTAACTCAACTATGAGTTTTTTCTCGAATACCTTTTACGAAATCTCTGATTAAATACTTAGTAATAGTTGTAACTGCTTAGTTGTAGTTGTTGGTATCTGTACTTTACACAGTGAAATAAATTATATTAAAATCTAATCGAATACTGTATGTAGTTTAAGCGAGTAGTACATATTTAAATTAGACATTTTTAACGGTTAAAAACGCGAAATGTATCAGTTAAGATTATTTATAAATTATTTTAACTTCGGCCAGTCGTTTCGGATGCATTACAGCAGCCGTTACGTTGATGACGTTAAAACTGTTTTATTTAAAAAACGAATTATTTTCTCTATAAGACTTGCCTTACAACAATTGTATATTTATTATGTACAGAGCCCATTCATTACACGGTGTGCTGACGTCGTACTAGAAGACACTATGTCTTGGGCGGGCGCCAACTTCAGCAGTTAACGGCGTGACGTACCCGACCTTAAACAACTTAATACAATTGATGGCTTCTCGGTTTCTTCCGATTTCTGAAGCGTGAAATGCGATTTCTTAATTTGCCATAAGAATGGAAAAATTTATTGGAGTTTTGATGTAATAGCCTGAACTGGAATATTGACACTAGCTGAGTCCGCGACTTCATCTCGCTGGAATACTTATTTTGGGCATCGTATCTATTTTTATTATGTTCAATTTGTTTAAAATCTTTAAAATTTTGCACATGGTGGCACTATATACATTAAAAGTCGATTAATTAAATATCGATTTTCAATTCGATCCAGTAGTTCCTGAGAATAGCGCGTTTAAATAAATAAACTCTTTTTAAAATATTTAATGTTAGTAGGTATAGATGACCGCTTTCGTAACACATTGGTAAATGTGATTGCATAAGATAAGTTCAAATTATGTATTTAAAAACACAAACGGTTTACAACGGTTTTAGACCGTTAAAGTGTATATTAGTTAAACTTATTTTGATTTTTTTTTAAACTTTGGCCCAAGGTTTCGGATACTTTGCAGCAGCCGTGGTCATGAGGTGACGGGGAAACCGGAACTATATAATTTGTATTTTACGTATTAAAAAATATAATATTATATGGTTGGGTTGTTTAATCGCTAGTTTATAATTAACATTGATAATAGTATATAGTGTCTATATACTATTATCAATGATAGTGATAAAGTGTCTGTAATATAATAAATAGTTTTCGTCAAAATTAGATAAAGATAGGCTTAACTCTGTTATCTTCCCCCATTTGCATACATTTAGTTTTGCTTACCTTCGTAATCTCTGTGTATAACGAAGGTTTGTGTCTCGTCTATTGATGTCACGCATGCCAAATATTAAATTTAGTATTTACGTCTAAAATTACTATTCTTAAGTTATGACTTATGTACATATATACAATGTATAATCTTTTAAATAGACACTTTACGGGTTTAAAATGAGATATATTTTAGTTAAATTTGTTTAACAATTATTTTTAACTACGACAAAAAAAAGCGAAGACACCGTGAGTCAATTCCGCAAGGACAAATTATTTTCAAACAAGTTTAACTAAAATAAATCGCGTTTTAAACCGTTAAAATGTTTTATTTAAATGTGTACTACTCGCGCAAACTACAGACAGTATTTAATGTATAGACTATATGCAAAAAAATATGTTTTTGTTATTGAAGATAAAAAGTGTCACAAAGAATAAAATGGGTCCTTATAACTTATTAATAATCACACTATCGTTCCGTTTGTTGCAAATTAAAAGGTAAAATATGTTCAAACCCCCCAAACAACAAATGTCTGTTGTTTGGTCTGTGTTTTTATTTGGTTTAGCGTATCATTTATAGAACATTCTGTGTGTCAGAGCCACTCGGTATTTGGCCGGTTTTTATTTATTTTGATAAATAAATTTACTCCACAAATTAAAAAAATTTTACCAATGGAACATGTTACCAGTCATAAAAAATAGGAAAATGCTCTTAATACAACTCAAAGACAATGTGACCAGCTTTCATTTAAAACGAGCAATTCATGAATCGAGCAGAATTCATTCAAAGACTTAACGAATGTCAATAACGTGATAAAACGTCCGCATCATGTCGAATTTTATCTTGGAAATAGGCCAATAGCGTTGTTTATTTATTATAACGATTTTATAGACCGCGCTGACGTGTAAAAATAAAATACTGTTTAAATCATTTGTAGCTCTCGGAATGCCATTGTTGAGGAGAAACGGGAAAAATATTATTGTAAAAGATTTTTTAACGGAACGAGAATATTATTTACATTTTTCATAGCTCTCTGTCTGTTATTATAACGAGCCCGGACGTTTCGGATGCTTTGCAGCAGTTGTGGTATCGGGGAGTCTCCCTCTGTATAATAATTTCCAAATAAGTTTAACATACATCGCGTTTTAAACCGTTTAAGTGTTTTATTGAAATTTTACTGCTCGCGTAAACTACAGACAGTATTTTCTGTTTTGCTAATCAATATTATTTATACACAAGTCGTTGATCAATCTTCTCTAGTCTGCCCTATTGAAGATATTAACTATTCTATTCAAAACCTAGTGGCTATGATAGGAAATTCGTTAAGTGTATTAAAGTTACTAGGTATATTTTTTCACTAAAATACAAAATAAATACAATTGGGGAACGTTCAAAATTAGATTGGATATTAGTGATAAATTTATTTACTTGCATGATCCAAATATTTTTTTGTTAGAATACTCCGGATGAATACTTAAAAACAAATCTACTCGTAATCTCTTTAGAAGTAAATATAAATTAGGTAAGTTTTAATAAAAATATTTTTGCCACAGATTACAATAAATCAGAATGCCAATTACCGTTTTGTTACTCATCTATCGTCCAATCATGTATCATCGTCGTTCGTTTTCTTGACCTATCTTAATTTTCAGTCCATTAACATTAATAGAAACTTTTTTTAAACAAACTGTAAGATCGGTTTTTGATTATTTTTATCTGTACCTTATTATAATTTGGAAATGAATTTTCCCAACAGTATTTGGTAAAAAACGCTCGCTAACTTTCGTTCCTTACGCCGCGTCCGTTTTTATTGTACACACGTTGTTACGATGAAACTAACCAGATACGTTTTTCATAATTTATACTCTAGTTAGCCACAGCTATACTAAGCTTATAACTATTTTCTCAACGCATTTCTGCTAGCCTTTTTTGTTTGAACTAAAAGAACACGTTGTTATAAATGATTTATATTCGTCTGCTTTATTTAATCATCGCTGTATTCTTATTAACGCAGTACAAGGATATTCTTGTTTTTGTTTCGACGAGTTATTTTAATATCAGATATCGCCGTGAGCTAAATTTTTTTATCGATATTTAACAAAGACATTTATCATAAGTTATTAATACGAGCGATCATATTGTAAGCGAAAGGGTTGATATTTTCACGGGGTATTGGAGTAAAAGACAAAGTCATCTTAACTTCATTATAATGAGTAAAATCGTTTTTGCATCGTATATATAATTAAGTAGTGTTATTGTATTGTTTAGATTTGTACTTATTAAAACTGTGGTATTGGGTGCGATCTCTAATGAGAGGAAATATTTGTGTGTATATTAATAAATAAAAATGTTCTAGTTGTGTCTTTTCTTAAAATATATTTTTTTGTTGTTGTTTTTAACTTATATAATATATCTTTTAAAACCTTTAAATTATTTGTTCATTGTGTTCATCATATTTTTCCTATTTCTAGATAGTTTATTCATAATACAAATTTCATTTTCATTTACATAGCTGTGTACGTAATTAATGATGAAAAGGCATTTACGTCATCAACTCCGATAACGGATTCAAATGTACAATTCAATGGTGTGCATACGATTAACGTCGGGCGAAATGACACGTAGTCCTTTGACGTTTTCCGTGACTGATTACCATGTCAAAGGTTCGCCATTTGCAATATTTTTTAAAACATGCTTTGCAATCACTCGTAAATTTTACTAATACTTCCAATATTAGAGAGATTATATTTATTCTGTATCATTTTTGCTTCTGTCAACAGTTTACTAACACAGGTATGACAGACAGTTACCCTTTGCACCTAATTATCAAAGAAAATATATTCGTAGCTGATATGTATAATGTGTAAAATCTCGTATCCTCGTGGGGGCGACCATACTTCTGTGTCTGTTTCACTGATCGATATTCATTACAGGCAAGTAGTTGATCAGACATCTGTTAATTTTGCTTAACGCAATGTTAAATATCCCGTTTAATTATTAGTTGATAGAACATAAAAGAAAAACAATCCCTACGATAATTGTGTAATTTTTAGATACTTTGTGTCAATTCAAGTTGTTTTATTTCTTATAATCTCTAAGACTTAACAGTTTAGGTAAGTAAAGATATGTTATGTCCAAAATAACGATTCCACGTTTAGTAGAGAGTTAAAGTATTATCAGATTTGAAAACATTAATATTTTCACATTTATTGCACATGAAGGCACTAAAATTTAAAAATCAAATAATTGAAAAAATTTTCGATTTTTAAATTATTATCAAATTATTAAAAAGGATATGGATTAGTGATGAGTTTGAGGCACCAGCTGCGCGGTCGTGTATCCTGTGTCAAGTACCGAAGAGCGACGGGCACAAATCCGGGAAAGGGCAGACCCTGTCCCACTGTGCTCTCCGTACTCAACCCGCCTTCGGAGTCCGATTCTCCTCCATCTGACTCCGAGCCCCCGCTAGAGTCCGACCCCTCCCGATAGCCGTAGTAAGGCATCTCCTACACTTGTGATTCACTTAAATTATAAGCTCATTGTACACTACACTATTTCACCATGTTTGCCGCTTCAACTGTACACGTATCTATCGGTTAGGACGGGCGGTCGCTTCGAGTGCTCTGTCCGGACGCCGAACAGTCGCGCCATGATGGTGGAATGATCTTGGATTTATCTGGAACAAAGATAGGAATTGGTAAAACATCGCTTGTCGTTATGGACAATGTTTTAGAGCACTTAACTAAATCACTCTGAACGATTTAAAACACAATGTATTAGCTTATTTACAATTTATTTTAACAACCTATAAAGGTATATTTTGATGTTTAGTGCTCGTGTTAACGAAAGTCAATGTTATAGAGTAATTCATTCTTTAATAATATTAAAATTGGGACTATCATGAGACAAAGTTCTGTCACTGAGAGTGACGAATGTTATAAAAAAACTACCCAAAGGTATAGTTATCTCTTATATATGTCTGGTCTTATTAACACTTATTATTCTATCAACATCTTAAATTAAAGTAATATTGTATTATTTAAAATCTGATCTAATTATTATGTTCTTCTAATGGTTTTACACTTGGAATTTCTTTTAACATCTTCTAGTCGAAACAACAGTACAGTAACAATATGTGGTAAAAATGCGTATATCCTGATGGAATTGCTTTGTATTCAAGCTATTTAATAATGCATACTAAATAAATGTTTGACAGAGGTTAAAGGTTCTGGGATATACCTTCGTTACTTACGTATTTATTCGAGTTGACTCAAGAGAGCTTTCGGTCTTAAACACACTGTAAATATACAATAAACATTGTTAGTTTTTTGTTAAGTAAGATTTCTCAAAACATAATCTTTAAATGATAGAGGGAGGACAGATAAGCCAGGAGTTCACTTGATGGTGGGTGATATATCCCAGCCTATAGCATCGAAACAAGGTGTGCTATCGACCTATGTTGGCTTTAGATATTAGAAAGCTTCATGGCTTTTTATTATGTGGACGGGGGCTCGTGATCCGGACGGAATTTTTATGTTCCTACCACTCCTTTAATATCCAGATTTCCAGACGATGTCCAAAACGTTTCAAACCTGTTGGAGCCGGTGGGGATCAAACCCAGGACTCGTTGATTATTTGCCATAAATTGCTACCGTTAGACCAACAAGCACGTCATACTACGTTTTATTTTATTAGTTTAAAGACTGTCTGAAAAAAAATGTTTTTCACTGTAGTTACCATACATATTTTAATGTCGTCAGTGACCACGGCGGTCGCAGAGGATCCGAAAAATAACTTGAAGAATATATTTGCTTTTTAAGCAATTTTTTAGTTTGCTGTTTAATTCAAAAGTTATCACAAATTCACCAGTCGTAAATTTCTATTTTTCCGAGTGAGAATCACAAACCGTACAATAAATCTATAGTTGAAACTTTCACGTGATTTATTATTTTTATAACTATCACGCGCATTCGTTAAAGTTCCAGCATAAAATATAGGTGATATGTAACAGCTGTCTATTTTTCATTTCTCTACTAACGAATGATTTTATCTATATATGGAGGAAATAGTCAAGTATTCGATAAAGTAAAAAATACACAATCGGGAATTGAACCCCTTACCTCCCCTCACATGACTTTGCTTTATACTAAACTACATGGGATATAATGAAGTTATACTTTGATTACTGTTACATTTGAATATATTTTTGTTTGCATAAAGTTTGAATTTATATAGACTGGTGACCCAAAAAAATTAAACAAATGAAAATTACGAACTCAAGTTGAGAGATAAAAGCACATTTTAAAGCCCCGAGTGCAGCGCTTCAAAGGCAAAATATTTTTTTAATCATTAGAATTCTATGTGAACATTTTTGTGGCAATTATTTAAAAATTCATTTCAAAAACTATTCAGGGAAGATGAACTGTTTTAATTCTAAATTGTGTAAGGCTTTCCACACCTGATGGCGAAACGTCGAGAACCTCTTCTCGCTCACATCGGCCGAACAGCCCGAAAGATATGCTGTTTTAATTCTATAGTAGTAGTTTTTGCCGTATACTTTTCTTCGATACAATTTTAGTCACAACATCTAAATAATCAAAGGCAAAATCTAATCGTTTAAAGCTTAACTCTAAACTGATTAAAAATACTTTTTGAAAAAAAAAAGTAAAAATAATGAACAGTAAAAAGTGACCACGGCTGCAAAGCATCCGAAATTAAAGATAACATAGCGTAAACTACAGCACATCATTTAAAAGTCGTTGATGGCATTGTGTTTATAATGTCCATCCGAGCCACGATCAAGAAGGTATTTTAACAAATAACAAATGCAAATTCTTCATTTTTTTCAAACATATTGTTCACATTTGAGGCTGCTAGTGGCCTAATAACAAAAAAAATGATTTTCAATAAGGATAGGAAAATACAAATGCGCAATTAACTTGTTGTAAGAATTATCTTAACAGTTTTCGGTCACTGTAGATTAACATATATTATTATGCCTAAAAATTTAATTATATATAACCTAGTTAATATATATATATTTTATTACACTAGGATTTCTTGTATCGTGGGTGCATTAAGAAATAAGTTGGAACTAACAACATGCTAAGTTTTAAAAATATTGATTCCGTAAGCTTTGATGCCTTATAATATCCACCAATCCGTCAGATAAACGACAATAACCGGTGAAGAAGCGCTTGTAACATACCGCTGGTATAAATTTAGCATCAGTCAATATTTGAGGGAACATTGCGCGAAGTAAACCGCTCCATCTTCATTAAAACGTTGTCGAGAGCTTAATAACCAACGTTTATACCTATTTGATAGACGTACTTCAAGCTGCGGTCGCTCCAATATGTATATTGCGTCTGTTTATTGAGGAATTATGGAGAACTTTTATTGCGTTGAAGTTGACCGTTTTTCGGATCGCTTCGATTATGTATGTAAACCTTATGGTCATGGAAAGTTACTTGAATATTCTTGTCAGTATCAAGATAATTTTTTTGATAGAGGAGGACAGACAAGCATGAGGATGATCACTTGGATGATCAAGATGGAAGGTGAAATATCCATCCATTTAATAACATCTTCGCAAGATGCACTGTCGACTTATTTTGCCTTTGAAAATCCTGTAATACACAGACTATAATTGAAACTTTACGGCGGTATCATCTATGGATAGGGGTTTGTGACCCGAACGGAATTTCGACATTCCTACAACTCATTTGATATCCACATTTCCAGACGAGGATAACCATGTAAAAAAATATAAATAATTTATTAGCCTTATTGGCTACCATTAGACCAACGAACCGGTCAACCATGGTTAATCAATAATTTAAATTTATCATATAGTCGTAATATCTCCTAATGATTGAAAATCGACTGACAATTTAGCTAACGAGTCGATCTGTAATTTTGTTGTAACATTTTTTTAGGTCATTTTACTGGTATATGTAGACCTAATGTAAATAATATTAGACATTAATGAAATTTCGTTTTCCCCTGATTGGGATATGGGCAGACACATTTCTGTCCCCTTCTCTCATCGGTTTATTTATAAATAAAGTAAGCAAATAGTTTAGATAATAGTTAAATTAAGGTACGGTTACGACGCTAGCTATTGTTAATGCATGTAAATCGCAAATAATAATTATTTGGCTTCAAAATTCGCATTCGCATTCCCTTTATCCCCAAAATCGAAGGTCCTCTTTTTATGTGACCTTTAAAGTAAAAGGGTTGACCTAACGCGTAAGATAGCGATCGTGATTCCCCAGCAACGTGAAAGATGCATAAAACGTCTTGAAAATTCAATCCAATAAAACGGAACTGTTATTTCTGCAGCGTTGTTTTATGTTCATACATGCATTACTACAGATAGTAAAATATATCCGTTTCGAGATCACAAAACAGAGTGAAAATCGTTACTCTAAGTTGGTATAGGATTTGTTTGTTTTTGACCGCCTTTTATTGCTCTAAATAATTATAATTATTAATAAGCAATCCGAAGACATTTTGCAATTTAATTATTGAAATACGCTATAAGTACTGCTTTTTTATTTTTTAATATTCTATTCTCTGTGGATGAGTGTTTAACTACGTTGCCTACATTACATTATCTTCTAAACTTTCGGGTTCGGGGTTTGAATTTTAGTATGAAATTATTTATTTTACACACAAATATATATTGCCATTGCAAATGAAAACCAATTCATAACAAAAAGCAATAATACTACATAAATGAATATACGATTCAAAAACAATATTAAAGAATATTTTAATCACTATTTTCATTGTAATTACTTTACGTTAAGAAGAGAAAGAGAGAGAGAAGATATTAATCACTACATAATGTAGTTTAGTTACATCAACTGTTTACATGTTAATAAAATCTGTGAAACATATACAGAAATAACTGCTTCAAAATATATGACCTAATAAATTAACTGATTTATATTTAGAAAAATGAATGTTAAATGCTATTGGTTTAAAAGTGATAATTACACATTTAAAAGTCATTTATTTACTACAGCTCAAAATTGATTAACACTACATATGCTTGAATCCCGCGTTCATACAAAACACACTTTATGAAATAATTTCCTAGAATACACCGTTGCCCTACTTATAGGAGATATGCATAATTTAAAAGCCCGACATTCCATCGCGCCAATAACCAGAAGTGAAAATAAAATACGTTATTGTTGTGTAAACTGAAACAATTTAATGTGTAGCGAACATAAATGTTCAAATCCAATGTTTACGGATCGCACATTGTATGACATAACCTTCTCGAAGCGTGCATAAAGATTTCTTGTACGTCACTTTTATGTTGTCTGTACATGGTCGTGAAATATTGAGCCATTACTGTATGTATTCAGAGATAAACGGCGTAAAGCCGTGTTTATTACATTGTTATCTCGTTCCACATTCTGTTAATGTCTGGAGAGTTTTATTTTAAATAATGCATCATCTAATATCAAAGGACAATATTTAACTCCCA